GGGCGCATGTCAAACAGTCAAACAGTCGACCAGTCTGTCAGTCAGACAGTCGCCAGCGTCGTCGCCCCGTATAAACTTCAATTGCCACGAAATCCAACAGACAAACAGCAACAAGAACAACAACAACAACAACCTGAACTAGAGCAGCGACAACAACAGCAACAACACGAGTTGACAACACGGCGCGAACAACTGCAACTGGTGACCCGATTTCCTTTTTGGCAGTCGCGCTTTCTCAGCTTTTCTCTCAGTCTCTCTCTCTCTCTCTCTCTCTGACACACTCTTCCTCTCTCTCAACTCACTGAAATGAACTTAGCTGAGATTTAAGCTGTTTTCCACTCCTAATGAGCTTTGCTCAATATAATAGTTAATTGCTGCGAGGGTTTATCGGCAAAAGGCAAACCTTTTGTGCTTTATAATTGGATACTTGGCTTGCCATTATATCTATGTCAGTCTATATACCCCGTGTGTACTTATGGGCATGGGCAAAACCTATATATATTACTCGGGTCCCATACATTGCTTATATCTAAACATAAAGCGCAGATGACAACTTTGGGTAGAAAACAAATATAGACTTTATGAAAATAATTAGATTTTGCAAATATTTTCAAGAGAACGAGATACTTACTTTTAAGAATATTTGAGAAACTAAACCTGGGCTAAGGCATGTGAAAAAACAGCTCTACGAAACGCAACGAGTCGAAGCGAATCAGCGACCATTTTGTTTGAGGTCCTGCAGACCCAACTTAAGGATATCCATAGCCATATAATAGTCCAGCCCAGCGAGCATTTTGTATATGTATTTTCATATAGAAATATTTACTAGATCCTGCAGACCTAGCTTAAAGGTATCCATAGCCAACCATTAGTCCAGCCCAGCGAGCATTTTGTATATGTATGTATTTTCATATAGAAATATTTACTAGATCCTGCAGACCCAACTTAAGGGTATCCATAGCCATCCTTTAGTCCAGCCCAGCGGCCATTTCGCTTGGAGCTTAACAGACCTAGTTTAAAGGTATCCATAGCCATATAATGGTCCAGACCCAACTTAAAGGTATCCATAGCCATATAATGGTCTAGCCCACACTCGATTTGCACCTCCAAAAATGTATCTATGCGCGTTTATTCAAGTCCAAGTTCCAAGCTATTTTCGGTGCCTTGAACTAAATTCAAATGCTGTTGATTAACGCCTCGAATCGTTCAATCTGTTCCTAACGAAATGTTTGACAAGTATTTGTTTGCCACGGAGCCGCTCTGCCTTGACCCCGCGCGCGCTGTCACCGCTGGCAGAGGCAGCGGCCGAGGCAGAGGCAGCGGCAGTGGCAGAGGCAGAGGCAGAGTCGACGGTCCTGCACGCAACACGAAAACTTTCTTTCACATTTTTCGACGCCCGCTTTTACGATACGAAATTACGATTGTATAATAAAGCGGTAGGCGGTGGCGACAATGCCAAGGGGGCTGCAGGGTGGAGGGTGGAGGGTGGGCAGCTGTAGCTGTAGCTGTAGTCGGAGCTGGAGCTGTAGCCCCAGGCCAAGTGGGCCGCCATTTTGTGTGCAGACTGCTGGCGCCAGTTTTATGTGCTCGAAAAGCAACACGCGTTTCCACAGAGCCAGCTGCGAGGACTCTGCGAGACGGGCGGACAGCAGGACAGCAGGACAGCAGGACAGCGGGTCAGGCGGCCGGGGGGACACCAGGGGGGACGTTGGGCGGTAGGCGGAGTGTCGACAGCGGATGTGCCGGCGACGCCAGCGCTTGGACTAGGACATAAACTCATTTATTGTGTGGGGCGTAGGTAGTTGGCATGGCCAAGCGCAGGGCACAGGGGGGGAATGGGGGGGGGGGGGGGGTGCCCGTGCTTTGCCTGTGCACAGGCGGTGTACAGTTGGTCGCCAGCCGGGCGTGCGCTACGCAATTAATTCACACACTCGAAGGACGGCACAGGACATTTCCATTTCCATTTCCACATCGATTCCCATTTCCACACGCGGCGCACCGCCTGTCGCCTTTTTATTAAAGGTAACAACAAGACCGAAACAAAAACTTTTCCTTTTCGTTTTATTGTTTGTCGATATGCGCGGTACAGTGGAGAGAGGGGGGGGGGGGCGGTGGCAAGGTTTCCGCATATTTGCGTATGTGATTTGGCCCTCGGCATGTGGCTAATGGCGTCAACAAATGCGTGGGATGCCACTTAAAAGCCAAGCAGTCCTAGTTTAACGCACGCACCCCGCACCTCAACCCCCGTCCCCCGTCTAATTGACACAACGCCACTGCGAAATGTGGTCTCAAGTCCAAGCAGATCGACCCGTTTGATATTCGCCGCGGCACAGACAACGCACAAGACACACAAACACATCTATATACATTATATATATATATATACATATACATATATATATGTGTGTGTTTGTGTGTGTGTATTTATGTATATTCGCACATAGCGAGCAGCTCTCAACATTCGGTATGTGTGGCTGGGAATTGTACTTGCGTAGCAGCTGATAAGGTTGAAATGCTTCGCAGTCCAGTGGCGTGCTCAGGGGGGGTTGCAGTGGTCACAGTTGGCCACGGGCCGCTCTACCGACAGCAGGCTCTAGTATTTACATGCTATCGTTTATTTCAATTGTATTCAAATGATAAGACCCCCCTTTTTGCAGTTGACGACGCCCCTGCGCTTGGTTGTTGCTGTTACAGTTCTGGAAATGCTCCGGAATGTTCTCAATTAAAATGATTCATTTTATATCCTCAACCTATAAGTGAACTTTAAATTAAATAAAGATTACATTTTGCGAGCTATGTGCACGACAACAACAACAACATTGATGACTGGATTGCACTTCCACTTTAAGAGGAAGACATTGAGAGAGCGAGAGAGAGAGAGAGAGAGAGAGAGTGAGTTAGTTCAAAAAAACAGCTGAGTCAATTAGGTAGCAACAATAGGGCTGTAAATTGGCAGAGAAAAAAGGATTTATGGAGAATATTATGACTTGTTGAGCGTATTTTCAGCGTATTTGTGGAAAATAGAAAGTTTATTAAACAAGCGAAGGTTAAGGAAGGTATAGAGAATATGAAAAGCTAGCTGGATAATGCCGGATTCACTAAAAGATACTTGGTATCTGAAAGATACTAAGTTTGCTACAAGATGTTTCGGTATCTGAAAGATACTTGTTCATCCAAAAGAATCTTTGACATCTAAATAATAGTAGCGCATCTGATAGATACCTGAACATCTTAAAAAAGCTTAAGTATCTACAGGAGCCATGTGTATCTGACAGATACTTATTTGCATTTCAGCATCTGAAATATGACTTTATCTTCACGATCATTGTAGATACTTGCTTATTTTTCAGATATTTTTTTAAAATATTTTTGCATCTTTAAGATACTTGCTAAATAACTTGGAACTTCTGAGTTAACTGGGTATCTAAAAGATACTCGTAGAGAGTGAAAGAAACTTGGGTAACTGTAAGATACTTGAATATCTGTGAAAGTGAAAGATACTTGTTCAATGAATTATACTAAGGCATCTGCTAAGATATTTAAGTACATAGAATACTTGATCTACCCAGATACTTGTCAGATACTCTGGCAACTTATAGATGATTGTATGTAACTCAAGTATCTGAAACGTTGGATAACAGAAAGTTACTCAGATGACAGAGAGATACTTGTTAGATACATAAAACATACTTGTGTATCCAAACAATACTTGTCAGATATGTGAGTGTCCGGAATGTATTGCCAAGATGCTTAGGTATCTATAAGATACTTATAAGATACTTGTGGACCTTAAAGATACTTGAAAGTAACTTGTGTATCTGAAAATAATTTGTCATATGTTTCGCTGTCCTATAAATACTTGTTTAATTATCTGATGGATATCTGTAAAATATCTGCTGAAAATGCTGGAAAGATATATTTATATCTGTAGATTTCTAGTGTATCTAGAAGTGCCTCTAGAGTCAGCAACCAGGCTATTATGGAAAAGATTAGTCCGTTAGGACCTAGCTTGAGCTGCGATGGCTCCACCCACTTCTGGATTCGACTAAATTGTGTCAGCTTAGCTCAGCTCTTGAAGCAGCCTATTTCCAGACTGTTGACTAAGCCATATGTTAATTACGGTTGACTGAATAAAAGCTTACAAGGCTGACAGGTTGCTGGAAACGAAAGTCAGAGATTGGTTGCAGCAAATACGGTCCAGGCAGAACCAACACAAATTGCACAAGATAAACACGGGAATTTGAAATTAATATGTATGCCGCTTGATCATAGACCTGTGAGTCAGATCTGTATGGCAATTAGCTAATGGTATAACATGGAATTAGTGGAAAGGAAAGGCGATCGGGTAAGGTAAGATAAGTAAGTAATGATGGATATGATCATGTATCTTGGTTTAAATCCTTGAATCCTCAAATCTTATTTTCAGAGAACAATTATCATTTTAAAGCCGAAGACGGCCTGATCCCACATGATGAATCTGTGACTCAGAACTCTGAAGATTTGTGTAAAGATCGAATTCAATATAGTTGTGGGAGATGAGAAGCCGATCTTCATGACTGCGATTTGATTCATTAGTTGGAAAATCAATTCGGCTAAAGATCAGCAAATATTTGACTGATCACAATGGGAGAATCTACCCTTCTAGGAAAAGTGATCATAATATTAAAATTGAACACGACCTGAACCGGTTATCTATCTAAGCCCCACCCACATGTTGAATCTGTGACTCAAATAGAGAATATAAAAACTGATTACGAACTGATAGGTCACACCTTTATATTGAACCTGTGACTCAGATCTCCGTAGGATCGATTACAATATAGTTGTGGAAGATAATGAGATGATCTTCATGATCAAGGCTCTCGGATGAATTCCTTCTTAATTGATATGTAGCGTAATATATTTTTGGTAAGAAAGACATTTGAATTAAGCACACATGGAGTGAATATTACAGCTGATCATGACCTGAGGCGTCACACACTTGATAATGAATCTGTGACTTAGGTCTCTGTAGGATCGATTTCAATCTAGTTGTGGAAGATAATGGGATGATCTTGATGTATCATGATCATGGAAAGAAATACATTTGACTGAACTCACTTGGAGGAACTTAGTCATATGATCGTCAGAATATAAAAGCCGATCATGACCTGATAGATCACAGCTTGATAATGAATCTGTGACTCAGATCTGTGTAGATTTGTGTTAGGATCCATTACAATATTGTTGTGGGAGATAATTAGTCGATCTGCATGATCTTGTAAACTGGCATTTGGAACGAAAGATCCCAATAGAGGATCTTAGTCACATCTGATCAAGACATGATAGGTCAGAAGCTTGATAATAAATCTGTGACTCAGGTCTCTATAGATTTATGTTAGGACCGATTACAATATAGTTGTGGGAGAGACTGATTATGGACTGACTCAACGTTCGGTTTGGCTCCACCCACCGCAAAGCCAGTTGGCCGGCCAATGGGGTTGACAGCGATCGCTCAAGCGACGCGATCAGCCGACCGATGAGCGATGAGCGAACAGGCGACGAACGACGAGCTTCAGTCGTTCGGCTAACGATGTGAAGTCATTTGTTCAAAATAGCAATAATTACTTAATTCAATTAACTAATAAATTCAAGATACTTGCTCGCGATCGCCGCGATCACAGCTACAACTACTTGGGGCAATAAATTATAAGCGCCCCGTGTAGATAGCTGCAAACAATGCCGGCGCCGTTGGCAGACATTCAGTTGTAATTGCTAATTATAACAAAGCGATAAACTGGGCAGCAAGTGCCCAATAGATCCTACAGAGCCACACGGTGGACCCTTAGACCAGTCGGATCTCGGCCTCTCGGCCTGTCGGCATTGGCCGTGCCACAGATTGGCGCAGCCGACGCTTATCGGTGGCCAATCGCAATTAGGCTGATATTTGCGACTAGCCCCTCGGCGCGGGGTCGCCTTCGGCCTTGGCTGGGGGCAGTACGGGGTATACGTTCAAAAGTCCATGTTGATTAGATTGCATTGGCATTAAATCATGATTTTTTTTAATAATGGTTCCGTTTGTTTCGGCTTTTTCCATGCTGTGTCATGCCAGCGAAATGCCTTCCCGGTCAAACGCTGCGTATACGCGTTATTATTAAACAACAATCGTATTACTCAAATGATTGTAGATTTCCCTTACTTTTTTTTTTTAATTTTGGAATATTTACAAGCTAAAAGGGTCGAGAGAAGGTCAAGAGAGTAAGATTTACTGCGGCACGCCGAATATTCAATGCACTTTTCCATTTTGCAGATACGTGCGAATAGTGAAGCGGCATGTTTCCCATATTTTGCCATACCTACTGTTGACAGATCTTTTCTATGGCAGCTATATGACATATATGACATGATATATGTACTGCCTGCAACAGGAAGACGGACCAATGCAAAGTTTCAAGAGGATAGCTTTAAGACTGAGAGACTAGTTTGCATAGAAAAAGACGGACAGAAGGACAGACTATATCGGACAGATGCGTAGATGGACAGATGGCTATATAAATCAACTCGGCTGTTGATGCTGATCCGGAATATATATACTTTAGGCACAGACAATCCGAAAGGGGAGATCGGTTTGACTGAGATTGCCCGAAAAAACGTTCAGATTTGATCTGGCGACAGGCTAAGCCCACATTTGAATGCCGCGAATGGGCTCAGATTAGTTTTGCGATGGCAGCGACTTTGGCTGAATTGAGGCAGAGTCTAGAAACTTTCACGGCAACTAATGCGTTTTATGTGCCTGGCCCAGAAAACATGTTTGGCCAAGCGAAATTCAAGTGTCCATTTACATATATTCATATATATATAGTTTCCATATGGATATTTCGAGCTTCTGCAACGCCCACGCCTCGGAAGCCTGTCTTAAAGGCAATGCAAATGAGCGAGTCGAGTTTGGTTTTTATGATTTTTACAATTTGCGCAAATTTCAAAACGCAAAAACAAATATCAGAGAACAAATCTGAGGCGAAAATCAATTTCTAGAAGTGTTCAAAAACTTTTACAAAAATAAGAAAAAAAAAAAACAAATGTAAGCTGATTATTTGTTTTTTGTTTTGTTCATACGCATAGAGGTTGTTGAAATACAAAAAGAAGAACAAGAAGAAGAAGAAGCAAACAACAGCAACAAATGATAATTTATATGCAAATTCAAATATTTTGTGATTAAACTGTTTTGCTTTTTTCATTAGCACCCCGCCACGCCCCGAACGCAGCGCCCCGCACCGCCCAACCGCCCCGCCCCGCTAGCTGCTGGCCGTCGACCGTCGCTTGTCGCTGGGCCCAGCGGTTGCCAGTTGGCAGTTGGCCGTTGGTCTTGGCCAAAAGCCGCTCAACAGTTGGCAGCTCTGTTTTTGATTAAGCTCATTTGCATGTGAATGGTCCCTGCTCGGAGGCAGTCCCCTACCCTCCCCACCCCCTTTCCCAACCATGCACCTCCGCTTGCCCCCTCTTGACCGTCCTAGCCCAGTCCCAAAACTGACGCTGGTTTCATGTTTCTTGGCAGCAGCAGGGGCCGAGGAGTTGGTGTCTGGGGAGGGGCTGTGTCGAGGTGCGGCAGCGAGCTGGAGGGGTAGGTGGAGAGTCATGGCGTACCCTGGAGTGTGGTGTAAGGGAAGGAGGGGGGAGGGGGGTTGTCGCATTTAGAGGCGAGCAGCTTTGAATTTCTAATAAGCCAAGTTATTTGCGCATGAGTCAACGCAGCGTCGTCAATAATATCCATGACAGCCGGTTAGTTGGACAAATATTTATAGAAGCATTCGCCGTGTATGTGTGTGTGTGTGTGTGTGTGTGTGTGTGTGTGTGAGTGTGTGCACACACACTTGTTTGATCTTTCAGTTAGTGCGACAGCCAATTGCCAATTCAATAACAATTCAAAAAGAAAAAAGAGGCAGACAGAAAAATACAAATTCAATAAATAAACTCGCCTGCAACTATCCAACACTATGCGCAACACTCCTCCTCATGGGGTCCGACAATTGCCACCCCCCCCCCGCAGTCACCACCCTCCAACAGCTTGGCTGGCAGCTATTAATAGCAGCTGAATCTCCAGCCAATCAGTCTGCGACGACAGCAGCCGCGTCGACCGCTTGGCCCGAGCCACACAATGCCTGATGCTAATGCTAATGCTAATGCTGCTGCTGCTCTGACTCACAATATGCCAAGAATCTCTGCCTACACAGTGGTAGGTTAGCGCAGCAAGTGTCTAACTATGTGGGCTGTTGGATTTTGCTACAGTATTGACATCTATTCTTAAACAAATTAGGAACCGAACGAATCGAACCTGCTTCTAATTATCAAATGAGTAGGGCTCTTTTTTTACAGCAGTCTTGCCAGTAAAACGCTTACGTATGCGACACAAAGAAGAATTGAAAAAAAAAAACTAAGCGGCAACTGTACTTTCCTTGACTCTCGAACATAGTGGAATATTATAGCAGGAGAGTTCTTTAACCAAACTTTTAACCTACAATTCAGCTCTTACAAGCATGGCTGCAAACCGGTTTTGTACCAAACAGATTTGAGCTCGGAATTTTATTTTATATTTTTTGATATAAGCCATAAAAAACGAACGAATCGAAAGCCGAACCGAGCCCAACTTTTGACAAGTTAATTTGGTTTAAATAGATTTGTTACAGAAACATGTTTTACATTTATGATAAACCAAGGTTTTAATCAGAGCATATTGTCAAGCATGTGTAAGGCTGGCTTTAACAACCTGACCTGAAGGCAGCAAGCTGGTTCGAACCGAAAAGCGAACCGCCGAATATTCTTCTGGGGCTTGCAATAGACCAAAGTGCAGCTGGGAATATGCCTTATCGAGAGCGTCGACTAGGTCCTACTAGGTCTGTCGAAAAGGAAGGAAGTAACGCATATTTGGCGTTGCCACCTAGCATAACATAGCTTACCCGAAAGTAAGCTTCGACTATCCTATGAGTCACAGTCTGAAAGGAGCTTGGTCGGCGGGCTGCTTCTTCCGGTGGAGAGAAAGAAAAAATGAGTGAATGAGTGAGAAGCTTCTCGCTGACTGATCCCACCTGACACCAGCCAAGTATAAGAGAGCGAGAACCAAAAGTGAATAATTCACAAATCTAACCTGAAACTCATGACTCATGCCCAATTCGCACCCAACGTCTTGTGTTTAATGCTTGAAGAAAGCGAATATTTGGATATTTGCAAGCTTCATTGTGTGCTGACAAGCCCTCCACAAAGAAGTTAAACTCTCCAAACGGACACATGCTGCAACATGCGAAACACTTAAAAGAGTGTTAAATAATTCCCGTATTAACTATCGATTCATTCATTAACCATCAATCAAATTGATTTCAAAAGCTGTCCATTTTGACGTGAAGAAGGGAATGGAATTTTTGAAGAAGAGAGAAGAGAGAGGGCATCTTTATGTTAAACTATATTTAATCTGTGCTCTACGCGAGCTTAAACTTTGTGGCATGTGAGATACCTACAAATCGACACTTATCGTTTATCGGATGCTTATCGAAAAGTTATCGATGAGAAAGACACACGCTCTATCCAGGAGATTCAGCCCAGCTGTGACCATCAGACTTGATTTAACCGGCCAACTGACAAGTAGCTTAGCCAAGCAATAACAATTTATCGAAATACCTTTCACATCTAAGCAATATATATGCATAAATATAATATAATACATATAGCAGGTACATATAGCAATATAGATATTAGAGCTGGAAGCCAAACAAACATTTCTGATGGTTCAAACCCATGTCTGGCCACATGTCTGATTTCCCATAATTCCCAGATTCAATATATAATCTAATTAATCCAAACTAAATTAATCAAATCATTTTTATTTGTATGAAATTAATTAATTGTATTAACTTGCCTTTATTTGCTTATACAAATTGATTTATACTTTTTATTAAATCCAAAACAAAATTGTAATATTTTAAAGAATTTCTTTTTTTTTGTTAACTGAACCATTTTTTGTAAGAAACACGGTTCTATTCGGGCTTAAGATCTGGTT